CACAGCTGTCTCCATGGTTATGATATACTTCCCTCCCCAGCTAATGCCTATGAATAGTATCATGTCGCTGTGTTTGTGGAGCTGCAGAAATACTTTAATCCATCCTCCAGTCCACGTTCTGCTGGCTAACAGCATTTGTTATCCGGGGGCTCAGCCAGGAGTGGAATGTGTGTGAAGCGTTGGAGCAGAGGAGCTGCTGCTGTGTTTTATAGCATACCTCTGTGCTGCAGTCAGAGCAGGCATCAGTCTGCTCTCTGCCGCTGTGCAGACCTCACACATTTTTGCTGGAAAGTGTGCAAAACAGCATTACTACAGTTTGCACTCTGACATGAGAGCTGATTTGATTTATAGATTTATAGAGTGTCTACACTTTGCTCTCGCAAGAGTTTCTCAGAAGCAGCAGAGAGTTTCTTGACCACTTAGAGCAGTGATTCTCAAATGGGGTACGTTGGGGTACTGCAGGGGGTACGTGAGATAAAAAAAATAAAAAAAAGGTTAATTAAAAAAATAATCTTAGTAAAATAAGTTAAATAGAAAACACAATGTTAAATAAAACATTCCTAGAACCACCAAGGGGGTCCTCATATAAACCTGTCAAATGTGTGTATTGTATTTTATAGTTTTTCACAATAACATATTACTTAAATTGAAAAACTGTGTTATGTTATTTTTTTTTCATGCATAAAATTAAAATATCCTTAGTGTGTTGTAATTTATACCACGAAGGAGTTAATACATCACACCCTGAGGGAACATCACTATATTGTAATTATTCATATAGGCTTTTTCGATCAAAACATTTCGGGATCGGTCAGGGGTTACTTGGCTGAGAAAATGTTTCAAAGGGGGTACATTACTGAACAAAGTTTGAGAAGCACTGACTTAGAGGATGGAGTTGGAGCTTCATGTCGGGCTGACTGCCCAGCACATTTTATTCAAGCCCACATGTTCCATATAAAATGTGTAACAGCCAGTTACAATTTGAATGATATAAGTTATTCTGATATGATAAACAGTTTATTTGCATAAATGCAATCCGCTGTTACACCGCTGCCTTTTATAAAAGTAACATAATAGGAGGGCCTATTATGGTTTTCCCTCTCCTGTACTGTGTTGTATAGTTTTCTGTGCATGTAAATGGTCTGCAAAGGCTAAAATCCCTGTGTTCCGTCCAGAGGGAGTTTCTCCCCCCCCCTCCTTTGTTTTCTTCTGTAATATAATGACATCACTATGCAGAGGTGTGGACTCGAGTCACATGACTTGGACTCGAGTCAGACTCGAGTCACACATTTTATGACTTGAGACTCGACTTGACAACATCACAAAAGACTTGCGACTCGACTTGGACTTGAACACCAATGACTCGGGACTTGACTTGGACTTGAGCCTTCTGACTTGAGGTGACTTGCTACTTTAATTCAGAGGTCTCCAACACGCCGATCGCGAGCTGCCGCTAGAAGAGCAGACTCCCGTCGGGGAAAGCAGAATCTTCAGCCGCTCCTACTCTGGCTGAGAATCCTTGCAGGCAGGGGCGGGTCTTTATTTAGCTGGGCCACCATGCGGCCAATCATATGCGAGGACACACTAGGATCATACCATTATGTGAAAGAAGGGTGGGGGCACAGCATGTGCAGAGCGACGGGGAGACGGGGAGCCGGATTTAAATGCAAGCGCGTCGGAAAAAGTCAAGAAATGAGCGAAAACCGAAAAAAGAAGCAGCATCTGGCTGCTTTTCAATGATACTGGAGAAAGCAAAGCTGAGTGCAGGATTTCTAAAATGAGAATAACCTTCAGAGCAGGGTAAACACTCAGGATTTATTGTCAGAGGTGGGAGAAGTTCAGACAATTAAAAAAAGTTACAATCAGGGTTCCCGCGGGGTCTTAACAAGTCTTAAAAAGTCTTACATTTGATAATCAGAATTTAAGGCCTTAAAAAGGTCTTAAATATGATTCAGAAGGTCTTAAAAATTATCGGATTTGAAAGGTACTTCTGTGTTGCGATAGCGTCTAAATGTGTTTTGGGGGAAATGTCCGGGCTGCAAAGTAACCAGTACGGTAATAGCCTTTCAGTTCCCCCCAACAATTTGTATTGAATTAAATCAACATGGAACCAGTAATCACTAACTTTGTTTCCCCCGGCCCCTTGTTGGAGAACACCCAGCTAGTAACCTAGCAACCAAGCTTCAGCTCATGTAGCCTATCTTCGAATCTACTTACAAATAAATATGGGGAAGTGTAAGTTCAACCGTATTTGGTTGGAAAACATCTAATTTAGTGCTTGGTTGAAACCAGTGGAGGGAACGTGTTTGAAGCCCGCTGCACCTTTTGCAAAATAAATTAGTGTTTGTTTTGCTAATGTAGGGTTAGCTAATGTAGCGTTAGCTAGTGGAGCGTTAGCTAGTGCAGCAGCAGCTAGTGCAGCGTTAGCTAGTGCAGCAGCAGCTAGTGCAGCGTTAGCTAGTGGAGTGTTAGCTAGTGCAGCAGCTCCCGCAACAACACCGGGGGACCTCCGGGCGAAGTTTGGGTCTACGTCAACCCTAAAAGCGGAGGTGCTGTAGACGCTAAATACCGTAGATAAACACCAATCATACAACAGCAACGATGACATAGTGTAGCCAAGGCAGCAGAGCTCAGTCTGAATATAGCTCTTGTCACTCTCTCTCAGAGACACACTTCACACACACACACACACACACACACACACACACACACACACACACACACACACACACACACACACACACACACACACACACACACACACACACACACACACACACACACACTAGGGCTGCTCGATTATGGCAATAATCAAGATTATGTTGGTCAATAATTAATATCACGATTATTAAATATGATTATTCATTGACTTTGAAAACATCCATTTATTGAACTTTAAAACAGATAATAATTTGAACAGTATCTTTTGATCTGTTGATTACCCTGAACGTATAATTCAACTGAAAAACCAATACAAAAATTAATTAAATAAATGATACATTACTAAAAAATTCATTAGATCAAATATGTTGTAGTGCACTGTCACAACCTAGCAAAGCAAAATAATCGTTTTTTCCGATTATGTTGTTTTCGTAATTGTGGCAGGCCAAAATCGTAATTGCGATTAAAATATGATTAATTGCACAGCCCTAACACACACACACACACTCAAGCGCACACACATACACACTTTTTGTCTAACACGCTAACACAGTTCTGTACTGTTACGCTGTTGTGTTCAGTCATTGTTCTTATGTTGAACATGAATACATTTACTTTGTAAGTGATTATGGGACGTATTTCTTCTTTATATACATTTTCCTTCATACTTTATTGCCGTGAAATAGGTCTTAAATTCTATTCAAAGTGGTCTTAAAAAGGTGTTAAAAAGTCTTAAATTTGAGTTGGCGAAACCTGCAGGAACCCTGTACAATAAAAAGTCCTGCATTCAAAATGTTACAAGTAAAAGTACAAAAGTATTAGCATCAATATATACTTAAAGTACCACCTGCAGAGGGTTCTAGATTAAGGTGTTCTTTTCCCCATAGAGACCACCTGGCTGCACATTATCCCTTGCATAAAGATAGATTGTGGTCCCTTATAACATGTTGTACATAGTGGAAATAAACATTCTGGTCACCTTAACATCAGGGATCTTATCCATTAAACTCCTTCTGAATCAAACCGTCACGGTAGCCTTACCTTACTGATCCCTCTTAAATTAGAAAAACACACGTTACTTTACCAGCAGAGAGAAAATGGATTATTAAATTATTAATGTGACTAATAAAGAGCAATTTGATTATTAAGTATTATTCTGTTGATCGATGTCATTACATTTGGTGAAAAACACATAATGACTTGTTTATGACTCGTTTTGTCAAAGTTTAGGACTTGGACTTGACTTGAACTTGCCCATCCTGACTTGAGACTTGACTTGGACTTGCAAGACAATGACTTGAGACTTGACTTGGACTTGAGCGCAAAGACTTGAGACTTGACTCGGACTTGCAAAACAATGACTTGGTCCCACCTCTGTCACTATGTAACACTTGTGATTCTATTGGCTAGCACTCCAACACATTATACGTGATAGGCTAAGGGGCGGGACATCTCTAAGCGGCTAAGCGGCTGACCAATCACAAGAGAGCCGGCCAGTTAACCATGAACCTCAACATGAGCATAATATCTCCTTTTTAATATTCCATTGATAGTAATTCTGATCTCTGTCCTGGAGGAGCAATTAATATCTGATGGAGATATTTCTAACATCTAAGACAGGTGTCAGGAAGAGATGTGTGCACACACACACACACACACACACACACACACACACACACACACACACACACACACACACACACACACACACACACACACACACACACACACACACACACACACACACACACAAAAGCTGTACCTTGTATGCTGTCGTTCATCTTCAGGTATGTCGTACTTTGCATTGTACCGTTGTGACATTAGTCTTTATCTCTGGATTCACCATCAGACAACGTGAGGAGAACTGTCACTCTGTTAGAGAGCTTGAGTCTTTAGGGGGCGGAGGAGTGGACTTGTCTAGAAGACCACTGCAGTCCCACTTGTAGGGACACTCATTCTGACAGGGTTCTGCAGATGTTGTGCTAGTACTAGTAGATAAAAGACGTTTCTTTCAAAGCTTATGAAAACCAAACAATCGCGTCTAATATTTTCTGCAGTGCAAAATGGTTTATTATATAGAGTAGAATGAGCATTTGGTAATGGTTGTAAACCATACAAATGTATAGGGATGGAATGCTTTTATAAACTGGCTGTCAACAGAATCAATATTGTGTTAAATTAATAAGTGATCATTAGGGAAAAAAAGATACAGCAAAACAATGCTGCTGGTTGCATTATATTTAAACACGCTCCATTCACCATACAAGCTGTTAAACTGCTACTTTTCTCAACTGTAGAACAGTCTCCTAATGGGAATCACACTTTGATGTCTCGTACAGACTGGGTTCATCCACATCGGAGAGGAGCGCCTTTTCATCGAGCCACTGGGTGAACATCGCCCCTCACAGTCCTTCTCCGGACTGAAGCACCAGCTGCAGAGACACCAACGCTCTGCCCCCCCCCCGGCTCTGCTCTGCACGCTGACCCGCCACACTTCTGTGGGACTGCACAAGGTGAGTGTGACAGAGAGCCACACTGGAGAGCACCCCCCTACATACATCCATCATAACTTAGAAACAAATATTTTAGAGATGGAATAAACAGGAAACATAGTAGGGCTGCTCGATTATGGCAAAAATCATAATCACAATTATTTTGGTCAATATTGATATCACGATTATTTAATTCTTATTAATTGATTATTTAATTCATTGACTTTTAAAACATCCATTTATTGAACTTTAAAATAAATAATAATAATAATTTGAACAGTATCTTTAACAGTTGATTACCCTGAACTTTAAGTATAACTCAACTGCAAAGTATTCAGCTGAAGCCACATATTGTTCAACTTCCCCACGGCATTTGTCATATAGGGCATGCAGTGCAGATCTGGTGAAATGATGCCGAGATGGCATCGCTTGTCCATAGTGTTAACTAGTTGTCCATAGTGCTAACCAGTTGCTAACCGTACTAACTGGGCACATGTCTTTAGCTATGTAGAATGTGATGGCATCTGTTATATCTTTGTGTCTTTGCGAGCTGGTTGAGTAGGCCGTTGCACTGTAAAGCGCGTCCTTAATTGATGACTGTGATGTGGTGGATGAAGTCGAGGGGGCACGCTCGTGAACTGTCAACGGGGGGGCGGGGGAGCCTTGCTGCGGGGAAACTGTGGACCTCTGTCGCCTGTCAGCGCAACTGAAATGATGACGTTTATAAAAAGCGGGCCGAGCCGGCCCTCTGTGATTCTCCAGAACACAACGATGGCCAGTCCGCCCCTGCTGCATTTATTTTTGTTCAAAGAGCGGAATTCGTTTTACCTTTCTTGTTCACAAGTTGCTCTTGTTCTGCCATCTTTGCTCGCGCTGAACTCACACAACTATTGTCACTCACAACCTGGTTGAGAGGGCTTTTAGGGAGGGGCGAAAACGCACGCAGCAAAATAATTGTTTTATTTAGATTACGTTGTTTTCGTAATCGTTGCAAGCCAAAATCGTAATCGAGATTAAAATACGATAAATTGCACTATGTACTAAAACATAGTGCACTTGCTCATGTGAAGTCCATTTTGTGTTCAGATATGCAATCGCCTCAAATCCTTATATGTTTTCACAGCTCAGTATGGGCATTTATGTATAAAGAGAACTGGATACAGTGTTGGAGGAGGGACCCCGTTCATTCCTATGAAAGTTGTTCAGTAGCGCAAGAAGCCAAAATTGCCTGACTCTTGTGTACAAAAATACTCCTATCTAGGCCCATAGAGCATGAACAGGTTGCGTTTTTCTTGACTGACACTGAAGTTGTAGCACCTTTGTTTGGCTAGGCCTGTCGCGATAATCAATTAATTGACTTATCGTACGATAAATAAAAATGAACTCGATAACTTTTCTGAGCTCGATAAATTGCCGTTTACATGCGTGTTTGTTTACATATAGATGTGACCAACATTTTAGCCAGGCGCGCTGTGGCTGCTGGTGTCAGTACCATATGTGTTCGCCCTACCATATGTGTTCGGGGTCCGTCGCTTACCAATGACGTCACGCATTGTGATTGGCTGTACGGTAATCGCACGCTGATTGGTGTAACTAGGGGCGCTGACTAGCGTATACCGGGGGTACACGAATGAGTGTAGGTAGAGAGAGAGAGAGAGAAGGAGAAGAATAAGAGAAATCGGGGTTGTTAAAATGGTGACCGAGATTTCAGCTAAGTACTTCTCACAGGAAAAGAGGGATGGAGGGATCAGAGCTCAGGAGACCAGCAGGAGACTGATGTCCAAGAATGAGTCAAAGCAGGACTTGTGCAACCTGGCAAAGTTCAAGAAGTCAGAAGATTGATCTTTATAATCTTAACCAGTTATATATATGCAGTTCCCCTGTTAATACATATTTAAAAATGATTTGGCTTTGTCAATATAAATTATTTCCCTTATATCTTTTACTATCTTGTATAGAGGTTCGAAAGGGTAACATTGCCAATTTAGAAATACAAAACGATGTAGGTTAGTTATCCTAAAAATAAGCTCATATTTGAATTCCCCATAAAAAAACACATAATTTAGACACCCCCATGTTAGGATTTCCTTCAGATTCATGTTAGCACCTGAGTATGACCCGCCCTATTGGTGTATGATCAAATTTGATTTCTAATTTTAAATAAAGGAAACAAATTCACAGTTATTGTCAAACAGGAGTTAAATACATTTCTTGCTTATTCTAAAAATGTATTTCACCATATTCATATTTAAATGATTGGGAAATTACGTTGTAATGATAATAAATCCCCTCCCTCGTTCAGATTAATGTCGATTGTTATTTTTTATGTTTGAATGTTAAAAAATAACAATCTACAGTGTTGTAGAGCCGATGAATGGGAGTCGGAGGTGGCGTTTTTAGTATGGAAGTCACTCCACACTTTATTTTCCATCACATTACAGCAAAGCAGGATGATCTTGTATACACGCTACACAAGCTAGAATGACAACACAACAACGGTGCACTCACTAACTCGTCCATGGTGCAACACACACTATATAACCCAGTGAATTGTGTCCCGTAAATGTCACCACAGTGTAAACATAATTATGTAAATAACCCAATTTGTGTTCTGTGAAACGTAAAAGGATATTACATTGTTTTTGTTACTTTCGTTGCAGTGTCTTAAATGTCATTTAGGTTAACTTCCTGTTTTATTTAGAATTATTATTATTACCTATTGGGTTGCCGTACAGCCAATGCGTGATGTCATTGGTAAGCGTAACGGACCCCGAACACATCTGGTAGGCCGAACACATATGGTACCTACACCGGCCAGGCGTGCTGTGAGGGCTCACACACAGCCAGGTCAGGACACTCTGCGTGCAGCAGTGTAGTAGCCAAATTAATAATATAGAGACAAGCAGGAGACAACGTGTGACTTACTCGAGGGGAATTTGAAGTTAAATGGAAGTGGTTGCAAAACCTAATACCACATCTCCGGTGTGGGAATATTTTGGATTTAAGCCAAATCAACGAGGCGAACCTACGGACTTGAATGAGCCGGGTGGTGTGTTGCATTTGTTTAAAAAGGTAGCAACAAAAGCTAGCAATACGACCAACCTTAAACTGCACCTGAAACACAACCTACCCATTCCGTTTTCCCAGCTGGGAGCAAACACGGCAGCTGGAGATGGAGAGCCCCCCAGAAATCTTTCATAGGGGTGGCCAAATGGGGCCACTGAAAATCTTGGGTGGCCCACCAAAACCAATAATTTAATTGTCGTAAAAGTATAGACTAGATGAAAACAATGGCAAAGAGAATCACCTACTGATATACTGATATACTTTGGTTTCTTATTTTACATTTTCTGATACTATTCAGTGAATATAATACGGATAGTTAACATTTTACTTCAAACAACATTTAAAAGAACCTTGTTTTGTGTTATGTATACATGTGTTGGTGATTTATTGTTTTGTTTTTTATATAGTTGTTCTTTCCTTTTAAAAAGACAAATACAGCTTAATTAAAATAAGTTCCTTTATTGTAAGGCACAAAATGTTCAGCATTCTCAACACATACAATACACAACAGCAACACAACATGTTCTTCAGTTATATTATGTCTCTAGGTTATAAATAGTTTTAGACTGAACAAAGCTGTTTGTGTCACACTGGGATCAAAGATGATTGACATGACTTTATTAAATCAAGTTTTAAAACATGATTATTTTATTTCAACAGGACCCAAAAACACAAGGGGTATAAAATGGTAAATACATACTGTGATTGAACACAAAAACACCATCTATTATTGACCTTTATAGCAAATTAAAAACATTATAAATGATACAAAACACCACCTTTTAGCAGGGGCGGCGGGTGCTGTAGGCTAGGGAAGGCTAAGCCTTCCCAAATATTTGTGTCACTGCATCCTGGTAAAATAAAAATATAATGTATTTGACATTAGCGCTGCTATGCAGCCACCTGTGCACTGTACCACGAAGCCAGTTCAACAGACCCTGGATATGCTTGAGTTATCTTAACTAACCCTAACAAACGCGCTCTCGCTAAGCGGTCCTACGACGCTGGTTATCAACTCGGTAAATCAAGCCAGGATTTCTCTCTCCAGCTGAGAATGCGTTCACGTGAAAGGGGCGGGGTTAGCTACATTTGACCAATCACAAACAGGGACAAGTCAGTGTGCGAAAAAGTACACGTCCCACCGTCCGGGACGTGTTATTTACAATATCGGACAAGTAGATCTTTCAATTGACTTGTCCGGCGGACAAGTGAAGTTTTTCGGCCTGATTTATTGACAAATTATTGATACATTCAGTTTACAAAAGGCAGAACTCATTCGCAAATTGTACGTGTCCGCCATTGTTCGTTTAGAAGTGTTAGTTTCGGTTCTGCTTGTCGATTCCTAACGGCCCGTCCACACTACAGCGTCGACAGCTTCAATCTGCCCATTCACTTTGAATGGGGTGACGTCACGTTGCCTCGCTTTTTCGCCGAACTGAATTGTGGGTAGCATAGCGGTCCGTCTCCGGCGTCAGAAGTTGAACAATGTTCAACTTCTGACGCCGGAGACGATTTAGTGGTCTGTAAATCGTTGGATAATTTTTTTGAAACTAAATAAACTACCCAGTATGAACACTTGTATAGCCCTTATTAAAAACATTCGTTCCTCAAGTTGTAATAATGTGCTAATAACGTTATTCTGAGAGTTATTTCCCTCTGCATTATGAACGCGCATCTAACCCACGGGACCGCGCCGCCCGGCACGTTCATGTTACGTGTCCCGACCAATCAGAGCACACTGTGCTCACAGGGAGGGTGGGGGCTGGAGCTATTGGAGCTACAACGAGCCGTTAAAGGCAGAGAGTGAAATTCAGTGAATACACGTAGTTTACAGAGATGCTGTTTGAGAAACCAATGTGAGTTGCATTTATCTTTACCCATGGATGCACAATAAGAACGGATCCATATCGTCTCACAGAGCTGTAATAATGGATATATTGCACATGTTTGCTATA